CTTCAATAAAATATTGGCAAGCCGATTGCAACAGCAAATCAAAAAACTTATTCATCATGATCAAGTAGGATTCATCCCGGGGATGCAAGGCTGGTTCAACGTACGCAAGTCTATCAACGTAATTCACCACGTAAACAGAACCAAAAACAAAAACCACATGATTATCTCAATTGACGCAGAGAAGGCATTTGACAAAATTCAACAGCCCTTTATGCTAAAAACCCTCAATAAACTCGGTATCGATGGAACGTATCTCAAAGTAATAAAAGCTATTTATGACAAACCGGCAGAATAAACTTTCTAAGTAAACTAACATCTGTCTCCGTTTTGGGGGGTTTACACCCAATAATTTTTGTTTCAAGTTGAAATTGCAAGTTAAATGAAGAAAAGAAAGAAATGCCTATGTAATACTTGAATGTTTATTGTTATTCAGGGAAAATCATGTTAGACTTCCCAGCTGAGAATAACGAGCATGATCAAAGAGACGCAAGGCTGGAGAGCAAAATTCACACCCTTGAGAGGCTTCAATGGAAAGAGTTTGCAAATTCTGTTTGCAGGCAGATGCAAAAAATGGACTTTTATTCCATTTCTGATGACATCACCCATGCTGTTAGGATTTCAACAAAATCTCCATGATTTAGAGAACATCTACTAAACTTTTGAAATAAGGAATTAATAATTCATATACAAGCTTCCACAACCAGTCTTGAAGAAATTGCCCAATATTCCAAATTATGAATATTTAGCATAGACAAATGCACACGTACTGAGCACACCTTTTCTTCTTCAAAGTCCAGTCACTCTTCAACCCACTTTAGTAGACATCAACCCAACAACAGACAACTACCCACTCCAGTAGGTACTTACCAAACAGTAGACATCTAACACACTCCAGTAGATACCTGCCCACTCCAGTAGACCCCTGCCAACTCTAGAAAGCATTACAACTTCAGTAGACATCTACTTACTCCAGCAACATATGCCCACTCCAGCAGACATATCTACTCCAGTAGACACCTATCCACTCCAGTGAATATCTGTTCATTCTAGTAGACATCTACTCACTCCAGTAGACATCTACCAACTTCATTAAATATTTACCAACTTCAGTAGACATCTACTTACTCCAGTAGACATATGCTCACCCCAGTAGACATCCATCCACCCCAGTAGACACCCATCCACTCCAGTAGACATCTACTCACTCCAGTTGACACCTACCAACTTCAGTAGATATCTACTTACTCCAGTAGATAGATGCCCACTCCAGTAGACACCCATCAACTCCAGTAGACACATACCCATTCCAGTAGACATCTACCAACTTCAGTAAACCAGTAGATATATGCTCTCTCCAGGAAATAGCTACTCACTCCAGTAGACACCTATCTACTCCAATAGACATCTACCCAATAGAATGCATCTAACCTACTTTTGCTAAAATCATCAATGGTGCTCATGCTGATGACTTCAACAGACGTTTTCAGTACTGACCTGTCTTCTCACAGCTTCCCACTTGATTCTGTCTTGAAACACTCTCTTCTCTTGATACAGCCAACACCAAAAATTATAGGTGTTTTTTATTTCTTTTTGGCAGATCTTTTTGAGTCTCTTGGGCACACTCAATTTTCATTCCTGTATGCAGTCCCCCTCTTGCTTGTTTTAGTCTAGATTCTGAAATTTGGGATTCGTTCTAGTACATCATCTCACATGACTTGATGCGATGTGCCCTGCTTATTCTAAATGTGCGTCTCCACCTCAAACCTCTACACCTTCAAATTCACCTGCCTGTGTTTCCACTGACCCCACAGGTGTCTCCAAAGTGTAATCAAACCCTAACACTTCAAATATGAATTGCTCATCTGTTACTTTAACAGTGTTTCCAAGATAAATCATTATTGGTACTTCTGCACCAGTAATCATTTCCTCTCAATAGCTTTAAAACATGAATATCATACTTCTCCTCAACACCTTTGAAATATGAATATCTTTAAAATATAACTGGAATCTACACACTTGGCATTATAAAAACTAAAAAGACGAGACCAGCTCCCCAAAGAACTAACATCATAGTCATTTAACTGGCTCCCTATTTCATCCTTGCCCCCGACTAAAGTATTCTCTGCAGTGCTGCCAGGATGATCTCTAATGCGAAAACACAAAAAGAACAATTTAAAGTTTATTCAGCCTAAACCATTGCACTTAGCATATAATGTGAACTCCTACGAACATCTGCAAGGCTTTATATAATCTGAGCCCTGACAACCTGCTCAACCTCATCTTATGTTTCTCGTTGGTGAAATCAATTTCCCTGTCCCTCTTCCTCTCTCTTTCTCTCTCTCCTCTCCTGTTGTATTTGTGTGTGTGTGTGTGTGTGTGTGTGTGTGTGTGTGTGTGTTAATGAGGATTATCAGAACCTACCAAGCAAGAACAATTATCTCTACACAATTCATCCTTGGAAGTATTGCAGATTATGACTAAACTCTTAGATTCTTTATTTATTCATCACCATATACCACAATGCATCATTTGCAGGCCAGGCATTTCCAGGTGGCACGGACATATTTGACCCAAAATTACTCTGAGTTCTCCACATGAGGGCTATGAGGGCTCGCTCATATGGGACCTTCGCTCCGCATTTATTCCTTGGAGGACCCACAGCCTAGATATGATGGAGCTGCTCTTCACCAGCGCAAGCCACGTGGATTTGCAGCATAACTGCTTCTCAGTTACGGCTTTGTTGTTCTGGTGGCATTGGCTTCAATGCTACACCAGACACTGTCGTTGTACACAACACCTCTGTGTGCAGACTTCAAGACAGACATAAGCAAATGAACTGTTTGATATCTGAGGGAGAAATGTAGAGATGTATGGTAATATTTAGTATCACACTGACATTCTTCACCATCGAAAGGCAAGCTGCTAGGAAGCTAAATCCTTTTTTCCCCCCAAAGGGCCTGTTCTGGCATACTCCCATTACATAGCACACACCTGTTCTCAGGTTTCCATCCCTCATGAAATTCCCTCTCTTAAGCTCCTCCCTAGGAATAACCCTCCACTCTTTTAGAACCTCACCAAAACTCAAAAGGGAGATTATTCAAAGGGATGATTGCTCCCCATTCTACCTCTCCACTGTGTATTTTCCTCCATTCCAGTCATTCACAGGGGAATTTGGCTACTATGGATTTTAGCGCTAGTTATTAATTTATCAATTATCATAAAATTATCCCAAGGAACGGCCTCCATTGTTATAAACAGAGCCCACTTTAGGTAGGAATGGTCCCCTCATGCCAGATCTTTAGGGAATTCTTTGCTGGCATGTGTTACACAGATGCCTGTATCTTTTCTCAAATAATTTTCAAGATTTAACTTTCCAACGTGTTTGATACAGCAAATATATATTCTCAGAGGCTATGTAGTTGAAGGCTGTGGAAAAAGATAAATCACTGAAAGTCACATAATTTGAATGTGTTCCCAGAATAATGTTTACTTTCTCTCCACTTCTGCAGGGTCCTCCCCCAGACTGGCTGGGACTGAGAAAAAGCCTTAGACTGCCAAAACAATGCTCCCTTAGTTACACAAAGAGGAGTTCTGATGTGATCTGTCTAGTGAGTTCTTTCAAATTCTTAGCCAGGGACCCTCGGACTCCTCAGTTTCTATCTGTAGGCAATGCAAATTATTTCAGTTAAATAAGGGAACAATGATTTTTGTGCTGATTTAATGTTTGTTTGGCCCACTTATTGGTATAAAGCTGCATTTTATGTCAATTTTCTATGTTGCATCTTCTGTGCATAGCAATGCTTGATGCATACTAGACCGTCAATGAGTTAATGGGGCTCTCTACAAGCCTTTAGACTACATGGAGTATTAACTTCAGAAGTAAGCATTGATGTCTGTCTATAATAATTAATTTTCCTCTTGAATTTATTCACAGCTGCAGATTAATGCCATAAATGTACCAGGGTAAAAAATATATAAATGTTAAAAAGATGCTGTGTATATTAATTTGTTCTTATCAGCCATCTATGCCCCGGATGAAGCAAGAGCTGTAAGAGTTTGTGTTAAGATTTCTGTGAAATGCTACCATCATACAGTTATACTGGCAAGACCAAAAGTGAGGAAGAGAGTTATGCAGAAATAGACATGTTAAATGATCATAATGTCACTGCATATGAGACAACACTCACAAATAATAATGAAGTGTTTCATAGTCATTAGAGAGCTGTGAATAAAAGTGTTTAAGTCTCTATACATGGATTAAATGACACTGAAATAATTCTCTTTTTTATTTTTATTTTTGAGACAGAGTCTCACTCTGTCACCCAGGCTGGAGTGCAATGGCGTGATCTCAGCTCACTGCAACCTCCACTTCCCGGATTCAAGCAATTCTCCTGCCTCAGCCTCACGAGTAGCTGGGATTACAGGCACACACCACAGTAGAGACAGGATTTCACCATGTTGTTCAGGCTGGTCTCAAACTCCTGACCTCGTGATCCACCTGTCTCAACCTCCCAAAGTGCTGGAATTACAGGCATGAGCCACCACGCCCGGCCAATGATTCTTAAACTTCTATGTCATAGGTAGCTCTTTGCATGAAGTTTAACTCTTCAAAAGTTAACAACAGAAAGTTAGATTATCTAACTTTGTGAAGAGAGAAATCAATAGGTCGTTTAAATAGAATCCAAACTAAAGCATGTTAAAGATCACCCTATGGGATGGAGTTCTGAGAAAACCCATCAAGATAGCAGATTCTTAAACTCTTCCCATGCCTAATTTTGATAATTGCAAACTGTTGCTGAGTGACGACACTAGGGTAGTGATGAGGAGTTTACTCCTGGTGGGATCAACACCGTTATACTTTGCTCCACGCACACACAATCCTGAAAATGGAACATGGAAGAGTCTGAGGTTGACAACTTGCAAACCCATTGTTCAAATGAAAATTGTGTGCAATATGAATAGAGGATGAGGAATTATCATTCCTGTATACCAGTGGTACTTTTATTATATCTCAGGAAGCCTTGAAGTTCCATACATGTAAACATTTCATGACGGTATGACAAAGGTGAGGTTACAGGTACAATTTTACTTCTCTCGACTTTGTCCAGAGGTGCTCCAAAGTATTTAATTGATTATAAACTTAGTCTAATTTACGATGTTCTGCATATTTGTCTAACATCTTTAGTACTGTATACATTAAGTTTAAATACGTATTCTCGAGCGCCCTGCTCCAAAGCTTAAAACAACATCTGCATTAACTTTCAGCATCCGGAAATCGCGGTGCCAAAACACTTGTGCAGGCTGAGGACACATAAGCCTTTGGTTTCGTTCATCACTGGTAGTCACGTGAAGGCTCTCGAGGAATAAAAATTATTCTGCATCACGCTTTATCATAATTCTATGTTTATTAACCAAATAAAGTGAGAAACAGTGGCATTAGACACAAGGGCTGCAGAACAAAAATCATCAGTAACAAGACCTGAGACTCAGGAAGTCACCTGGCACTACAGAGATGCTCTCCATGAGGGGTTTCCACTGGACTCGTCAGATGCGTAAAATGAGTACCAGTACCCAGCTCAGTGAGGCCTTGTTGAAATAGGGCATCACATCCTAAGAAGCAAAACCAAATAGGGTCTTTAAATCACAATCTCAGAAAATACGACCCAGTATAGAGCCCCACTTCTCAAATGTTAACTTGCCCAGCTGTCGTGAGACCTTGTTCTGATGTAATAGGCCTGGAGTGAGCTTGGAGGCTGAGATTTCTGCATTTCTGCTACTTCCTGGGTGACGCTGAGGATGGCAAGCCAGGGCCCACACTTTGAGTAGCCAGGCTGTGCAAAGCTAGGCAGCTGTGCCAGAAGTCAGCTTGCTCTGGTTAGCAGCTCTAAAAGGGTAAGTTGGTCTTTTAAAGGAAAGCCTTCACACTGATTGTTAAATCAACAAGCATAGCTATAAACTAGGATGGCCCTTTCCAACAACTTAATTACAATTCAGTGGCAACATTCAGTCACCTCCACCATTCTCCTAAAAACCCAAATTTTTATGGTCATTACCATCAGCACCTTTGAATACGAGAGCATTGATATGTAAGTGAGTCCAGATTATAAAATCCAATTTATTTCAACTTTAAGGGAATGAGCGTCAGGTGATGAGACCGCCATGCATTCAGCAGAGAATTCTGAGATAATCCTGCAGAAATGCAAGTATATCTTATGTGGATAAATCAGTTGTGGATGCAGCCATTTCATTTGGAGAAACAACATCTTTTTTGGAGACACTGGTAGTCATCTTTTGTCACTGGTAGTCACATGAAGGCTTCGGAAGAAGCATTCTTCTGCATCATACTGTATCATAGTATGAGAAACAATCGTCTTTTGGTGCTGTTACCAAGAGTGTGGAAGGTACTGCCCTCTTCTGAAGCTTGGACATAAAAAGGCATGTATATATGATGAATAAAGGTAGGAAAACGTCACCCATAGAGAAGAATGGAATGCCAGGTTCTCTCTGCAATGGAGCAATGCTTGATTTCAAGCAAATTAGCCGACAAAGTCCATGCCCTTAAGAAGTTGATAATCTAAGATCAAAACCGGTACAGTCCTGCTTTCGCCATCCAAAGGAATAAAGAGTTTAAATTCTTTGCCACAGAGAACATTGATGACACAGCTTAGAGGACTTTGCAGAAAGTAAAGCAAGATTAAACTGTCTTATGAAGAGATCAGTAAGTATAGTTGTGTTACCTTCTCTTCCCAGTCAACAAATCGTTGCTCCCTTTAGTCTTCATCACTGATTCTGACCAGCGAAACTGGAATACCTTGGCCGCAAATACTCTGTATCGACAGAGGGAAAACCAGTCGAGCTTTTGTCATGTTAGGTGTTCCTATGAAAGATATCTGGAACTTATCACATTCTATTGCTTTAAAGATTACCTGTGGTGAAAATATCAGACAACATGTGCAGCTCGTAAACCATCGACTCAAATGGCAGGAAACTCTGTAATGCACCCCTGCAGCTCCACTCCAAATGGCATAGTGTAAGGGGGTTGGAGGTGGCAGCTACAGGTCCCTTCAGCATCAAGACTTCTGGTGCATTCCTTGAAAACAAAACCAGGTTAGGGAAGTAGGTAGGCTAAGACAGGCATGGCATCATAAGCATGATTATTTGAACACTCACTAATCAGACCCTATTATAAAGAACAAAGTTATTTCTAAGCTCCAGTAGGTTTAAACAATATTGATTATGAAACAAACTTACAGTACAGGAGAGAACACACTGTGCTTAGCTTCATATGCAGGTTTTGCCCTACATATACTTTTTTAAAAGAAAATTCTCACACAGAGGAATGTGTGATGATTGTTTCTCTGTATAAACCAGTATTTGTCCCCCCTGGAAACTGGCATCTATAAGAAGCAGGAAATTATTCATTAGAAATGTAAAAGAGAATGGCTTAAGGAAAAGAAATTGAATGGATCGCATCTGGGAAAGGAAGTTTCTCTTATCTCTCCTTGCCCAGCCTGTCCAGGCATTATTAGCCAATTATGTCTCTTAGATTTCTCCCCCGACTCTCATAAAAGACTCCTGGTTTAAATTCAAACATTTAATTTGATATGTCTCTGTATATTTATTTCAATATTAAAAGGCTTTGGGCTTAAAGTACAAATAATATTTATATAATACCTTATATCCAAGTGTCTAATACCTTTTACATGTCAAATAAATGTGACATGGAGTACTATTAGTGTGAAAAGCTGTACTTTCCTTCTCCTTAAACTCGGGATGATTACCATGATTACTTCTACTGAACCAGGATGGACATAACACTTCACTGAATACCTGGGGTAACTTGAATTTTTAATCTCCCCTTTGAGAAAAATGACATTACAATATGATGAGATGGGACATCATGGAGAGACTCTTTTCTTCACAAACTGTACAGTACATCTCACCCTGTTGACAATGAAATTCCCAGCCTGGGTGTTAAATACACTGCTTCGTGTTTTCGACACATTCTTACAAAGTTTTTGATACTTGACTATCAACTTACGACATTCCGTGTTACCATATTCCCACATGCTTTCTTCTCTGTTTAATCACTAATTTCTGATGACTGTGCTCCTACCATTCCATTGCTCTTACTATGTTTAACTGACTCTTGTACACCTGTCTTGCTTTTGATTCCTTGCTTTTCTTGACCTCGACTTTCATCACTTGCAGAGGTCGGACTCTCAGAGCTCCAGGACTCCTAATTCTCTATACCCGATTTGGGCACCCACCCCACATCGTCCTTATTTTCTACATCAGAGTTTGTAAGTTCACATTTATCCATTGTGCTGACAAAAACAGAAGCTTGGAATACATGTATCAGCAAGAAAATAACATGATAAAGAATTTGTCATTAAAAGTAATAGAATGGCAAAGTAAAGATAATATAGGAATCATAAGAAATGGAAGCAGGAAAGACACTGCTTAGTTCTTTTCCACTCTAAGTTCACTCGACATGATTTCCAAATCTGAGTCACTATTTTAACTCAGGATGGTGAATAAAGATTTCCTTTATACACAGAAGACAATGACGATGCTAGAGAGATTTGCCTCAAATTAGTTCAGTCACTGCAATCATATGAAGCCAAAACAATGGATTTCCTGAATGTTAAACTAGCATCAAGCATTCATTAGTGTAATTTGCTGGGCTGCATTTAGATAAAGCTTAGTAGATCTTTATGATTGTCTCCAATGCACAGAGTGCGGCAGGATACAATTATTCTCTCTACCAAGAGAATATGTTACTGTCATGTCAAATTACTAACCTTCTGCAGGGGATGAACTTCTCTAGGAAGCTTGAAAAGCATTTCTGCTTCTATATGGCACTGAATTTTTATCATAAAAAGATAAGGGAAGGTTTTTTATCTTCTTTCAGAAAAGTCTATTACAGTACTCAATGCTATGATTAGAGAGATGGTGACTTAAATCTCTTGAATATCAAAAGAGAGGAAGACAGCCTTTGGCCATAATCACTGCTTAGGTGCTTTGGTTAAACAGGAAACTCAGAAGGATTCCTCTCATTGTAGCTCTTGGGTTAGGAAAGGAATTCTTTGATCTTATGTACCTGCCTCAGACTTCTTGGTATATTACGGACATTTTTACCTCACTATGTAAACCAGACGGGAGGTTTTCAGAGATGCAGAAAGATAACTCTTTCTTTCTGTGGAATGTTAGAGGAACTTTATATTTCATATGCAGGAAGGAGTCTGGCTAATAATCTAATTCCTGTGTGTCCATCAATGTCTTATGCACTTTTTCCTGACTGTATATTACCCAATGTGTTGTATCTCCTGATTAAAATAATGTGAACACTTCTATTTAACAATAATAGCTTCAGTTGATTTCTTCAATGTTGGTTACATTGTACTCTGTAACTTTAAAAAAACAAATTCTGCCCCACCATTTATAAATAAACTGAAAATGTGAAGACCATTCAAAGCAGTATGAAAGAGAAAAGAATTAAAGTTAATATGGGAGTCCTGCAAATAGGTTTTCTCTTCTTTAAATAGAAAGATCTACAATAGGTTAATTGTACATGTCACAAACATCCTTTCGGAAAATCTATCCTAAAAAAAATACTACCTGTATTAGCCTGTTCTTACATGGCTAACAAAGACTTACCCAAGACTGGGTATTTTATAAAGGAAAGAGGTTTAATAGACTCACAGGTCAGCATGGCGGGGGAGGCCTCACAACCATGGCAGAAGGTGAAGGGAGAGCAAAGGCACATTTTACATGGTGGCAGGCAAGAGAGTGTGTTCAGGGGAACTGCCCTTTATAAAACCATCAGCTCTTGTGAGACTTATTCACTATCAGGAGAACAGCACAGGAAAGCCTGCCCCCGTGATCTAGTTACCTCCCACCAGCTCTTTCCTGGGATATATGTGGATTATGGGAGCCACAATTCAAGATGAGATTTGGGTATGGACACAGCCAAACTGTATCACTACCCAATATAAGAAACAGTGTTTTGAATGCAACAATGCAGTCAATTAATAGATAGGACAATTTAGAGATTAACCTGCTGATTTAAACTTATTTTAAAAGATATGTTTAAATCACCAGTCAAGATGCATGAAAATGACATACAAATAGCAAGCACTCAGTGGGAAGCACAAGTCATCTGTATTGCCAATGCCCCACAACTCAGTGGGCAAGCGCAAGTCATCTGTATTGTCAGTGCCCCACAACTTACTCCAGCAGCAGAAACCCAATGAAATGTTAGTGTAACTTTTAATGCATGAGTTAATTAATTAGCAATCACTTATATTTTGATTGAAATAGGCAAACTATTTATCCTGTAACTGGGGAGAAATTTCCTAGTTATCTAACTTAGACTTCAGTAAGTTATCCAAGTGAAACTGAAGAGAGCTTGAAAAAGCTGTTAAGCTGTTAGTGCATATGTTCTCAGAATCACAGCTACAGATGGCTCCACTGCTATTTCAGTTGGTGAGGAGACCACTATCAAAGAAGACATTACAGCCTCAAGGCTCTATTCAGTTTCAGGCTTTGTTTATTTGTTTTTACTTGTTATTGTTTTTCCAACAAAAAAAATTAATCCATTTACACCATATCAATGAAAATGTACAGAAAAGCAATAGTAAGAAAATGAAAGTCACACACAGCACTACCACTGAGATTCCCTCTCAGCAATTTATTATAATCTGCCAAGTTATTTTTCTGTTTTTTCATTTTTATTCAGAAAGAGATCATTCAGCACTCAGTGTTTTAAAATATGCCTTTTATATGGCAAAAATGCACCTTATAAAATATTACGCTTCAACGTAATTTGAACTAACTACATAATATTCCATGGGTAAGTGTGTTGTTATTTTATTTTATTTTATATTTTATTTTATTTTATTTTATTTTGAGACAGAGTCTTGCTCTGTGCCCGGGCTGGAGTGCAGTTGTGGAATCTCAACTCACTGCAACCTCCGCCTCCCAGGTTCAACCGATTCTCCTGCCTCAGCCTTCCAAGTAGCTGGGATTACAGGCACCCGCCACCATACCTGGCTAACTTTTTGTATTTTTAGTAGAGACAGGGTTTCACTGTGTTGGCCAGGCTGGTCTTGGATGCCTGATCTTGTGATTCACCTGCCTCGGCCTTCCAAAGTGCTGGGATTACAGGGTGTTGTTATTTTTAAAAATTTATTTTGATGGACCTAAGATTATCTCGATTTTCTGACAAACTTATAAGACCAAAACCCTGAAGATATCTTTACCTTTTTAGGCTGCCTTTACATAGAGTTGCTTGGTCCATAATTTTAATAAGTATTACCAAGTCATTTCACAGCAAGTTTGCATCAGCTAGGATTAGAGGTTCATAACATTGCATTTTTCACCTTACTGTCATTGATAACGTATATTATCATTCATTCTTATCATTCTCAATTTAACTAATCATTTACATTGTGCTGAACAGGAATGATTTTGTATGTTCATCAGTCTATCTCCTCTACAGGGAAATTACCATTTGTAGTCTTTAGTCATTATTTCAACTGATATATATTAATTTTCTTATTTTATTTGTAAAGGTGTTTAAATTTTAAAGATATTAATATATGCTTGTCTTATATATAAAAATTATTTTTATATTTTAAATTTTCCACCCCAGTCTATTATGACAAATCATGTGCCCAACAAACAGTAATACATTCTCTTAGCCTTAGGATATTATCAGCTTTGAATCATTGAGACTCGTGTTATTTATAGTGTTTACAATATAATTTGAGAAAACTGAGATCCTATTACAAAATGCAAGGTGCCCTTTTTAGGAGCTATGAAAATAGGTTCAGGAGAATTGCCTGAACGCAGGAGGTGGAGGTTGCGGTGAGCTGAGATCGCACCATTGCACTCTAGCCTGGGTAACAAGAGCGAAACTCCATCTCAAAAAAAAAAAAAAAAAAGAAAATAGGTATTTTGTAGTAAGAAAGACCAATAAATTCCTACACATTCCTTTGTTCATTCTCTCAAAGTATTGAATCACTAGTATGTGCCAGGTGCCACATTAAACAATAGAGGTATTTGAAGTACTTTCTCTGCTATTTT